CACATTAAACAACTATAAAGTAAATTTTCTTTTATATTTTAAATATATTAATATATATTTTTAAATTTTACAAGCAATTTTTTATTCTAATCTTTCATTCTTAAAGATATAGGAGCGAGGAAACAGAACCTAGACCTAATCATCGCATGTGATACATTTTTATGAATGAAATGATGTCTTATGAGAGTAATTTTCTTATTATCATCATTAAAGAGTCATTTTTAACTCTTATTAAATATTCTGGAGCCAAAAAATAAATTTAAAAAAATCGTAAATTAACCTAGATTAGAGTTATAATGTATGAGATAGGTAATGATTATTAAAGGACATTCTATAAAAAAAGTGGGAATCAAATTGGGTTATAAACTGAATAAACGAGAAAAGTAGTGAGATATTTTTAATTTTAGATGGTAATTTCTATATAAAATTTTTTCTAAATTAGACTAGAAAAATAATTCTTTCAAACAAATTAGCCTACTTATTAACAAGTATTATTGAATTACTTCTTCAGAGTGTAAGATCGTTTGAATGGATCAATCCTTTCACTCTACGGAGAGTAACGAAAGCTAGGATTTTCTTCGCTACTGTTTATCGCATATTATCCACCCACAAGGTCGAGAAAAAGGTTTTGGTTTACTGTATCGAGAGGTCAAAGATCAACCAAGAGGGGTCGACTCCGATTACAACCACTTAACTACTGGAGAAACAGGGTTCAAGTAGAGATAAAGTAATTTTTTTTTTTTTTTTTTTGGTTAAAGGTCGCGACTTTCGACGTTTTCGCCAACAAACAACCTCGCTAATCCGTCATTGGGACAATCGGAAACGTGGTACGCTGCACCCTCTTCCATCTTTACACCTTTTATGATTTTTTTCCATAGGAGAAAATGACCAAAAAGTAAAAGGAAGTGTGACATTAAGGGGTGGTTTCTTTACATAATAAATTCTAATAAGAAGTTCGAGACAAGTCTTTTGAAGAGGCCTCTGTAGGAAACTTAAGTATGTGAGGTCTTTAGTAATCCATACCCAAGAGGGGTCTACCTACAGAGTTATTTTTACATAATTGTAAAGACGGGTAAATTTAAGGGTATGTAAAGTTTCCGTTAGGTTCATTTTCATGATAAAAAGTTATAGAAGTCGGGTACGCGACCTGTAATTTGAACACTATATGCTAATTTTTCGCAGATATATTCAAGCGATTATCCCCCCGAGACCTAACAGAATTCATTTTTATAGAATAATAAAGGAACGAATTTTTGATTAAAAATTTTTATAGGAAGTTCCTTCGCTTTAAATGAATAGAATGTGATTAATTTATAATATTTAAAGCGTATATTACTATACTAGACAGTATATTATGTGTTCTGTGCTCTTTGAGTCTTTATCTTTTTGTTAAATGACATAAAGAAGTGATTTAAAGTATGACTTGTAATGTTATAGTAGTGACTATAGCATAGTTTTTAAAATTTTGATATAAATTACATAAATAAATGTAGAATATATTTATTATATTTTCATTCTACAGTACTATAGTCTATATTTCCTAGACAAAATGGAATTAAGTGAACATGTGGAGAGTGAAAAATACAAGAAATGTGCAGAATTCAGAGTGAAAAACAATGTTTTCAACATAAAATATGTATAAAAAGTTTGCATAAGATGATCTAAAGCAACACAAAATATAGAAAATGTAAGGATTTAAAATATAGGGTAAGGTCAGAGGATGATTAGTGTTAAGGATAAAAAGAAGAAGTTATAAAATGTATTGAACATAGAGTATAATACTTTGTACAAAAAAGTAAAATTAAATTTTAATTTCTTAATTTTATTTTGNTCACGAACATTGGTAACAACATGATTTATAAATCATTTTAAAAGACAGAATTTATCTTTCCTAGTTTAAATTTATTTTTAATTCTTAATTTTCCATCTATAAATACACAGGATTATTCAAAACTCAGTTAATTAAATGTGTATTTTGTAAACAATTCAACAATTCAAGAAACAATTTGTGATAGTGTCATTCATTGTAATTTGTATATTGAAGAAGGCTCTCATGTTTGTAAGCAATTTAAGTAAGCATTTATAATAGTTAACTGACTTTTGGGCTATCCTCAGAATGAAAAATTATCTACTTATTGACTTTTCTCAATTGACTATTCAATCAGCACGGAAATCATCACTTAAATTTTCTAATTTTATATATAATTAATACAAAAATATTTGATTTTATTCAAATATAATTTAGTTCGAAGTATAACTTATACATATTTACATAATATATAATTAAAATACATTCAGATTAATATTTAAATCGAAAATTTGATAATTAAGTTATATATATATATATATATTACACAATTAACAACTAAATAATGCGTGAAATGGTATTAATATTTTAATTCTTATTTTTCAGTTATTGAAGTTAGTATAATTATTTTCCTTTCACGAATTAATCTAATTACAATATATTACAGTAAAATAATCGTTTAAAAGCATTAATGTTTAGGAAAAATAGAAAATGGATTCTATAAAGAAGCGAATGACGTTAAGTGGAAGAGACATTACAACATCTGGAATAAAAAAAAACACTCGAGTTCACAATTAAATTACGAATTTATTTTGTATTCGGGTAAAGAATAAAAATAAAGAACGTGTAGTTTAGTTAACTTCGATGCAATTGTCTCGAATTTCTCTTCTCAAACTTCTCTATTAAGAGAATTTACTTTCACTAAACAATCCCCAGTCAGCAATGAAGTCTCTTTCTTCCTTTCTTTGTTGCTCCATTCGATCTTATAGCTTAGAGAATAGACGAAATGTAAAAAGGATACTAACAATTCCCTAAATATCGAAGAAAATTCTTGAAATTTCCTAAATGAAATTAATTAAAAGTAAATCATCAATTATATATAACGGGGCTACTTTTAATTTTCTTTACGTTAGATCGAATAACCACAAAAGTTCCAATTTTCCATTTCGTAGACTTAATTGGATTAAACGGATCGCTTTACTTCTCCATTTATCTTATGCACTTTCAATTTTATACAATCAAACTTCTGTATTCGGGGTGAGGTCGAAGCTAATTGGAAAAAAAAAAGGAAGAAGAAAGAGGGGGAAAAAAATCGATGCAGACAGATAAACTCGATTTTTTCGTTGATTCTCTTTCGTTATCCTCTATTTTATCTGCGGTGGGGAGGAGAAACTTTGGTTCAGATTTGTAGTATGCTATCTTATTGTGGAGCACCGGGATAAATTTAATCCAGATGAAAACCAATACGAATTGTTGTTTTTTAAACTTTTAAGAAATCGGTAGTTGGATGTTGGATAAATACAGGAGAGAAGAATAAATTAAAAATTAATTGATTAGAAAACAGGAAAGATTCAATCTAAAAATTGGATATATTTAACTAATCTTGATTTGAGAATCAATCTAGAATAATAAATTTTCTATTTTCTCATTGATTTAATGCATATCCCATGAATATTATACGAAGACATATGATTGATAAGCGCAAGTGTTTAGGATTATTCAAAAAACACACAAACATAAAACAATAATTTACAAAAATCTAGGCTTAGAATTAGATTTAATATGAGAAATTTTTGGCTCAAACTGATTAAAATCTTAATTTAAAACATAAAATCTCAGCTTAAAACTTTAAAATATGTGTTTTTCTTTTAAACTAAAAGATGTGTGGTTAAATTGAATTTAAATTAAGGTATTGACTAATTAATATGAATGAAAAATGCGATTAAATTCGAATTTAAAACTTAATTAACTAAATTTAATTGAAAGTAAATTATTAAATTAAAAACAAATTTAATCGAATTCCATTTAAAGAAACTGTATCTGTATGATACAAAAATTTAATTATATTAAAAGCCTTCTAATTTTCTTTCATTGAAAGTAATACAAATCCTGTAACTTCGTCATGTAAATCAATAAATCTTGGATCTTGTAGAAATTAATACTTTAATTTGGATCGAAATTACATTCAAAATAAACTCAGGTTAAACCACACTTTAAGTTCATACTTCATCTAAAGTTAATATATTAAATAAGCTGCTGTCAGTGTTTATAACTAGAAGAAGAAATAATTTATAGATGAAAGAATAAAAGAATTATTGATTCTTTTAAATCATAAACCAAATTTTTNATAAACTCAGGTTAAACCACACTTTAAGTTCATACTTCATCTAAAGTTAATATATTAAATAAGCTGCTGTCAGTGTTTATAACTAGAAGAAGAAATAATTTATAGATGAAAGAATAAAAGAATTATTGATTCTTTTAAATCATAAACCAAATTTTTATTATATTTTCGATCATAAAATCAAATAGGAAAATATAAAAATTATTGGAATTATTTAGATATCATCTAAGGATAGATCCATTCAAAAATCAATAAAATTCACTCGTAAAATCATAAAAATTCTTTAAAAATTTATTAAAAATACATTTAAGAAGCTTCAAAATAGAACTAGAAGAAGAAAAAGTTTATAAATTTTTTTAAAAATTTATATAACATAAAAAGATTTTTTAATTGGTTTTAAGTTAATCGATTATCTTAAATATTTAACATGCGTAATCATCAATTAAAAAAATTCTTAATAGAGAAATAACCTTTAAAAATCTGATAAAAGTAATATATTTAAATCAAGCAAAGAAAAATCAAGAATAAAATTAAACGTGATGCGAAGAGGAGGATGCTAGAGACTATAACTTTTATTGTTTTCCACTCGTCAAACGTTATCTTTAACAATAAACAGAAATAAATTCTTAATTAGTTTCTCTTGTTGAATTAATTAAAGATTTAATTACTAAAGAGATTTTAGCATCTAAAAGAATTGATTTTCGGTATCTAGTTACGCTAATTATTTAGTAAGGGATCGTCTAAACTCTAAAGTATACACCGACGTAAAGAGAACTTTTTTTTCTATCATAAGAAACTATTATATCTTTATAACAAAAGAACGTCTAAATATATATATATATATATTTTAAGTTAGAATTTAGTATAAAGTTGTAACATCAATCAGTACGATCGTGTTTAGAATTTAAACATGTTTATCTGGAAGATTTCTTAATTAGAATTCTTCTCTTGAGGAGGTCGTCGATTGAACAAGTGTAGCAAATTAACAACCTTGTTAATTTTCATTTGTGGCAAACAATAGTGATAAATTTCGATGAAACATTAAATATAAAGACTTTACGACTGAATACATTCTTCGAAAAGTTGTTATTGGGAATTAAATAACCTCTCCCGCTCCCAAAATAATAAATTATGCCACAAATCTACTTTATCCACATTCTGTTGTATAATGGTATCATTTTTTACCTGTCGCCAGTCCACTTCTCTTATTTTTTTACGTGATGTTTCTGGCTAGTAGTAAACTACCATTACATCCAAAGATACTATATTTACGAGATATAAACATGTTTTATAGATTTCAAACTTTCTTGCACATGTTTTGTCACTTACTGATCATGTTATTGTCAAAATTTGATGAGAATTTATCGATTTTATTGCTGGAATCTCAACTCTTTCCAATATATTTTAAAATAAATAAAACTTTCTTTCTTTTTTTTAGAATTAAGTTATCGAAAATTTTTGACGAAACTATCGAAATATAAGTTTATATATATAAAAGAGCTTATCTGAAAAGTAGAGTAGTAAAAAAGGGAAAATTCCAAGCCAAGCATTTCCTTTAACCGTCGAACTAGCAATAAAATAAAGATTTGTAAAGCTTAAGTGAAGCAGTTTCCTGTCGATAGGCACCGAAGAGTACTTTATATTTTTGGAGGTTAGAAAAAAAGGATAGAAATTTTCACTTGAAACAATATTTGATCTCGTTTTCTTTTGCAGAAAGATAGAAATTTTGCTGATAAAGCAATCATATTAACGAGATTTGCATTTAAAAGAGATGATTTAATCCTTATTAATAATGAATTTCTTTACTTATGTTTTTGATTCATATTTATTCTGAGGATAATTAATTAGAGGCGAGGTCAAAGATTAATTTGCTGGCTTCTTAATACGATTAACTCAATGAATATGTTGGAAGAGATTTTTGTGAAAAACTTGTTTATTGATTAATTTTTTGGAGTTTTGGAGGTATAAAAATAGTAGAATTTACTCACCTTGTTCGTCTTGTAACCGCTTGATGTGTGTGAAAGCTTCTTCAGCAGCAGTAATCAATCTTGCTCTTCTTTTCTTAACACGTCTTTCGTATTCGTGTTCTTCATAGAACCTTTCGTTGTGACTAGTGTCTCTCCTTCTGGCATTAGCTGCCAAAACAGCTCTTGTTTGTCCATTGATTGTATTGTTCCCTATTCCATCTACTTCGTAGACTTTGAAGCCTGAAGTAGACTTTCTTGTTTTGGTGGGAATGGTTTCTAAATACGGATTATAAATACTAAAATCTTGGTAGTATCGTTCTAAAATCCATACGGCAGCTCTTTGTATGCTGAGCTGTCCCATGTTATAGCAATGGCTCTCGCCATCGGGCGATCGTACCACTTTGACAAAATAATGGGGTTGCAATTGTCTAATTTCCATAAGAATCACGGCTAAGTAATGTATGAAGAGCAGAGCGTCCACCAACGATACGGCAAACAACACGATACTCTGATAAGAAGTACCGCTGCTATTCGTTCTCTTCTCGAGGAAGCGCACTCCGTAGAAGAGCCAATACGAGAAGGTAAAAACGAACACCAAAGCCATAATTATAGCTCGAAAAATAAATATTCTGGGCATGGTAGCTTTTGGTTTCCTGAAAAACACTGCCCAACAACCGACTAAGAGTATTAAAAGTTTAAAAGAGAAACTTATGAGCAAACCATCACATTCGGGACCACATTGATCGATCTTCCAATCGAACATCTCTATCCTTGGTAGCACTACCATAACTATGGGTGATATGAAGGCACAGAATGATAGTAGAGCCGCTATGATTGTCCCCATCCACATTTGGCACCGAAATGCCAAACCTTGTTCGAAATCGCGTCCGAATTTGGATATGTCATCCACCGAAGCCGATCTTTCGCTGGTGTTTCCGGTAATGGCGGTAGTATTATCACCCCAGTTATCGTCCTGCGATAGTATTTGCACTTCGATAACTTCTCCAGTTTCCGTTCTTTCTTCTCCACTCTCCTCCTTGTTTCCGGATCGGTTAGACCTGAGAGAGTGCTTTCCGGATCCGGTACTCCTGTTTCTGTGACTGTGATGATGAGAGCCTCCTCCATGACTGCTATGACCTCTGCTCCTTCGAGATCTTGACGATTGTTCGCTGTGACCGGATCTGACCGATTCAGTTTCCATTGTCACCTTGTAGGTAGGCAGTTGAATGCCAGTCCCCACATGGATGTCTCCTGTCCACAGAGACATAAGGTGAATGTGGACAGGTCTTTATACTTCTAAATAGCTCTCATCTGTAACAGAAAAATATATATATATCACTCTTTAGTTACAATAAATACGCATTAATTACCGTAAAATAAATGTTAAATAGTTGGAAAGTATGTTTTTTGCGATTTATTCAAAGATAAATTTAATATATTTACAAGTAAAGAGAGTTCAACGAGGTAGACTTGTTTTCTAAACGTGTTTCTTCTCATTAAATATGTAAATGTAATTCCATGTACGGGCCTACTTGCAATCTTAAAAACCATTTATTTTAGTTCAGCCGTCTTGTATATCCAAATCTCCATAGCTTCCTGCTAATTTGAAGCATCACGTAAGAGAATTTCGACGTTTAAACTTTCCTACTTTATTACGAAGATGTATACTTTTACCTTCAATCAAGAAGTGAATTCGGCAATCAAAATAATAAACAGCTTACGAACTGAATATAAAATAACATAGTAAAATCCTACACATTCTCTTACTGTATCACGCAACATGAATTTTTTTTTTCCTGCTAGTTTAAAATTCATTTACCTTATATTTTTCCCCTCGACAGAAGCGAATTTAATTTAAATAAAAGTATTAAAATGATATTTTCATTAAGGATTATAAAGTGATAACATTTCTTTATGAAAAACTCAGATTTCAAGATGATGAATAGGCACATCTTAATCATGAAATGTGAGGATGATCACGAATTATCCCTCCCACGTTCTAAACGCGGTTAAAATTAATTACTGACTTAAATCGATAGCTGACAGGGAAGATAATTTTGATGAGTTATTTAGTCTCTATCGTCTTTATATTTAGCTACAGTCCTCCCATATCCAATGCGATTTCTTCCACATTCTCTACCACTTTGTATGGCTTCTGAATATGAATGTCACTGGCTTCAAACCGATAAAAGTCGGCAAAAGTTGGCATCACAGCAGAACCATTCGCATTATTTACGCTCTTCCAACGTTTCGTGTCGACCAGCAAACTTGGAAGCAGGTGGTGCGAGCAACTTTAGAGATGAAAGGTCGAGAAGACGAGTACGCTGCTCTTACAACGTTTAGAATTTTAACGCACGCTTAGCATGCAAATGAAATACGAAAATATCTAAATCTATAAAGCAAACTATGTGTACTAGCTTAAGTAAAAAATATTACAGGATGCCGACGGATGTTGACAAGTAAGATATTCATTGAAATATTGTAAAGTATCCCCGCTTTTTTCCGCTTAGCGATAAGTAGTAGTGATGTAGATGCGATACTGGCTATAAAAGTAAAAATATTGAACCGATCCACACCAGCAGCTTGTTTGGAGATGATGTGCAGAATATAAAGAAGAAAGGAGAAAATATTTTGTACCGGCAACGAGACAATGTAATTAGTTCTATATAAAAACTTGGATATATATTTATTTATTTATTTTATTTTATTTTTAAGCATTTCTGCCTTTAAAAAGTTGTTATAATTTGTATTTTTTTTATAAGAATTTTTAGCTGACACGCCACAAAATTTGTAGGCAAAAAAGCTGTAAATTCTCAATTCTACGAGAAGAAAAAATAAGAACTAAATTAGAAGAAAAGAACCCTTTTATTTTGTATCTCGTTAGATTTTCTACCTTTCTAGAAAATAAAAATTCCTGCTTGTTCTTCCATTCATAAACAAGAAAATTCCCGAGATTAGTAGTAGACGATTTTATAATTAATCCAGAAAGTATCTCTTAATCAATCCATGGAAAAAAAATCCCTCTTATGACCATATTTACCTAAGTTAATATTCAGGAACGTTAGAAGGGATACAGAATGGAAATCACAAGAGATTTGAGCATGAATAATAGAACATCGTCAAGCATTCGTCCTCCTACAAATGAAAGAAATGCAAACAAAAATAGGAAAGAGTCGGCTCATTTGTTTTAACGCCAGCCCTCAAAAAACTCTTAGCTGGAATGTCACGGCGCTGGTAAGTATACAGTACAATGACCAGGAAATTGCCTTGGCAGACAATCAAGTTAGGCCTACACAGCTGAAATGTCTGAAGACGCCCATAATACATTCGAAGCAAACAATTTTAGCATCCCCCTTTTTATTCACACGTTCGATAGTTTCACTACTTTACACTTAATGCATGGTCAATGATTTATTTCGCTTTTCCACTCGTTTTCTCTCTACAAGCGGTCGTGTGTCTGTCCACTACTTAATCATTTTTAGAATATATTTCTTCGTATCGTTTACGAAAATAACTATGTATATATAAATATATATTTATATAATCACGTTTTATAACCGTATTTATTTAATGGGATCATTTCTAAAACAGGAATTTTTGCGTGTTAAACGGAGCTTTCTCTCCTAATTTAAGGGGATAACTTTTTGGCCTTGAAGTATAATACGCGAATAAGGAAAAAATTAGGTAACCTTTATCTAAAAAATTCTTATGTTTTTCAGGGGAAATTCTTTTATTTAGTGCAGTTTATGTATTGGATTTATAATAACACTATATGAGAAGTGATAATTTATCATAAGTACCTTGTTGTTAATATAAGCAAATTTGAGTCATAATGTTTAAAAAAATTGTGTTTTTTTTTTATTTTTTCAAGTAAATTAAGCTTATTTGTCACAAATTTGTGCCAAACCGGATTTTTCTGATAAAATCTCCTCGCACATTGGATCCGCTATTAACGTGTTAAAAGTAGCGATTATTGACCTTTAAATAAGTTCAATGTCTAGAATTCCGAAGTGTTTTACTACTAAAACTACCAAAAATCATTTAATAGGCCACCGATAATGTTATACAAATTACTGTCGTCGAAATATTTTTTCAAAAAAAAACACGTTTTTAAGTAACTTATCAGCATTATCAGATTGAATACAATACAAATAAATTGCACATCCTCTAATAAATTTTGATTTCGGCTCTATAAAGAAGATTTGTTCAGTAATTATCTAATCCTCTTTAGCTCTTAATTTATCTTTAGAGAAGAATGTCGATAGAGAAAGAAAAGAAGAAGGGAGAGAAACTTCCATTAGATCTTAAAGAGATTTTCCTCCTGTATAAATTGGTCTCAAATATAATCTTATAATAAACAGCGATTGATTTTTATGGCACTTCTTAAGATTTTATGGAAAATTAATTTTGATTTTCTAAAAAAGAAGTTAGAATCTCTTGAAAATAGATTACGAAGTGTCGAAGTCACAACACTTTTTTTCGCTAGAAATCAGCTAAAACTCATGAATAAAACTCGTAGCTAATGTTTTTTAGAGGATGGACATACATCAAACTATAATTTTATTTTATTTAAAAGCTGTCAATACTTTTTACAAACTTTTCTACTGTTCAAATTTTAAGAAAAAATATAAAATTCGAACCTTAAGTATTGAATTCTAGATGCGATATTTGTTAGAAAGGAACTTGACAGAAACTAATTGTTTGTTTTTAAGAAATTATTCATATATTAAAAGGATTAAAATGAATTTAATCTATAGGAAATGCTTGACTCAATTATAAAATCAAAGAATTTTAAAAGTAAACAACGAAAAGATGACTCCCTTCTCTCAGTTCGACAAACAGAATTGATGATGGATGTATGGAACACGCCAATTTTGTTGTTAAATTCTTCATTATTCATCAAGAAGTAGTAATTTTCTGTCAACAAGCACTAATTATATACAGTTATTGTTTGTTTAACTACTTTCTCTAAGCAATATAATCGTGTTTATGTTAAATATCGTTAAGTAAAATAAGAATAAATCATTAGTCAAATTTTTTACTTATTATGTATAATCATCGAATTTACAAAAATTAAAGGTTTGATCAATATAAAACTAAGCATTAATTTTTTTTTTATCCTTTGTTAATACATTATAATTACTTATCGTAGGGGTGAGGATATTTTAACATGGAAAATTAGTCTACACGGAAATCTCTTATTTTTATTATTTAAAAAATATATAATATAGAGTTTAATTATATACATAAACGTAATTTCAGTCGGATCTTTAATACGGTTTTATTCAGTTTATCAAGATAAATTCAGCCCTTCTTCCAAGATAATTCCCTTTAATCTGGAATGTTTCAAAGCATTTTTCACCGTTCAGATATATTTTTAAGTTTAGTTAATTAAAGGAAAAGGTATTTCGGGAATATCTAACGAAACATTAATTCCTAATTAAATTTTCTTAAGAGAGAAATTCTTAAATCTGTAGATTTATATCAGACAAATCTTTAATTAGACACACGTCGACGAATGATGATAAGACCCCAGAAGCTAGTTTTAAGTACAAAATAACATCTGTAGTTGCATTAATAAAAATTTAATAGAAGAATACATGCAATTTTAATCTGTATAAGTAACTATATTCTTGGTTGGGAGATAGAGATGAATTATCCGAGTGGAAAGTGGGAACGAGTGCCATGTTATCACTCCTGCCTGGGGGACACTGGCGACCAACAGGACTCGAGAGGCGAACTAAATTACACAGCTGCTATACTTCTCAACCCCAGAAATTAAATTTGGATACAAATGGACCAGATGGATAGAATACAGAGTGATTCTTAACCGATTTCTCTTCACCATGAAATTATTCCTTTTCNCAAAATAACTTACATTAAAACATTACATTACCAATAGTTACAAATTACAAACTGACTACGTTACGAATTGTAAAGTAGATAAATTAAAGAACATTATTTATAAAGACATTGATAAATTGATGGGAGGAAGGGGGAAAAAACTAGAAAAGTAATAAGTTCTGGAACATTATTTAATGCTAGAAAATTTCAATATTCGTCATATTTTTTAAGTTTATATATTCAGTTTCCTCTATTTTTTCCCTTTTTTATATAAGTAATGTGTTCTGTATTCACGCTCAATATTGATTGTATCTCGTTTTATATTCAATGTATTTGGCATTTTATATTTCAGTATGTTCTATACTTCATCATTTATCGTTCTATATTCAAATATCTTACTTTTCATATTCTAAATACAGTATTATAATGTATTTTGTATCATATTTAATTCAATTCTTAGGCATTAAAACTGTAATAAATATGGTCTAAAATATATTTTAACATTAACAATGTGGAGGAATTTCTATGTATAATTTAACACAAACTATCATATTAAATATCAAATGAACAAGTAAAACAAATAAATTTCTACAGATAATTTAAAAATTAAGCGAGGAAAATTTATAAAAATACTCTTTTAACTGAATAAATGAAGTAAAAAAGAGTAGGCTGCACCTACTCTGAATATATTCAAAGGGACTTTTGTTATAAAACTAAAGAAAATGTCTGCCTGTCAGTTACTTACTTCCTTGTATGTTATGTCTAGAGTAATATCCTGCATTCCTTCCTTTGCTAATTACACAGTGAAGTGCAACAAAGCCGAAACAATTAT